CATAGTTCTCCTTTAAGAGAACTATTACAACGGCATCTAAATAACTCCGTCCTTGTTGAACCCGATAGTTTCAGGTCCATCGATGATCCCATTACTGGAACTCACGGCTCTACCACTTAATCCTTTGAGAGTTGTCATCTGATGGCCCCGACACCATAGAAGTAGCTGCTTTATTTCCATCACTTTCAGAGTCATTGTCAGTCTCATGCCATACAATAGACGTGGCTGAGACCTCCGGCTGTCATTGGACTTTCCTTATATTTCCCTGCTTGTAGTTCAGTAATAATAAAAACGCTTTAGCCGGAGCGGAATGCATGCAAATATTCTTATGGCCTTAATGAGGTTGTGAAATAGGCTATAAAATGATTATTACAGGGAGTGGGGCGCTCCGCTGCTAATAATAATATGTTACTCGCACCACTTTCCGTGCTTGAGACATTTCTCATCACACATGCAGTCATTCAGATTGTTGGGTGGTTCTGATTGCTCTCGGAGAAGTAGTCATAAAGGAACAGTAAAGAGGACTTCCAGGTAGCAAGTAAATTCAGTCTGTTGTCCAGTAAGCATTGCAACTGTGTAAAAGCATGCTACCCAATCAGCTGCGGCCAGGGAATTCCCCACCCGCAGCTCATTGTAAGGAAAGGGGCGGGATGCAGTGTCATCAATTACCTTATATGGTTGGATGCCTATATTAGGTAAATAACTTTTATCTTATATGGCTATGTGGCCATATGAGGTAAATTACATCAGCACAAGCATCCCTCCCCTTTGTTTACATGTAGCTGCGGGGCCGGGAATTCCCCACCCGCAGCTCATTGTAAAAAAAGGGGGCGGGATGCAGTGCCATCAATGACCTTATATGGTTAGATGCCTATATTTAGTAGATAACTATTATCTTATATGGCTATGTGACCATATGAGGTAAATTACATCAGCACAATCATTCCTCCCCTTTGTTTACATGCAGCTGCTGGGCTGGGAATTCCCCAACCGCAGCTCATTGTAAGGTAGGCTGGCGGGATGCAGTGTCATCATTGACCTTATATGGCTAGATGCCTATATTTGGTAAATAACATTTATCTAATATGACATTATGTGGCCATATTAGGTAAATGACATCAGCACAAGCATCCCTCCCCGTTGTTTACATGTAGCTGCGGGGCCGGGAATTCCCTGCCCGCAGCTGATTAGGTGGAAGTGCCCATTAGGTCTGCGACTATGTAAATAAAAAGGTTGATATGCTTATTTTTGTCTGTTCCCCTTTTAGGTAGGGATGAGCTCAGGTTTGGACCAAACCTGGGCAGAACTTTTTTCGGAAGAGATCAAGTTCAAGCCAGGTTCGGTCCAAACCTGAGCTCATTCCTAATTAGAGTGAGAACAGACAGCATATCGGTCTTTCTTACTTTTACATAGTTGCAGCGCGTTCTAGACAGCAGACCGAATAGGCACTTCCACATCAGTTGCGGGCCGGAATTCCACGCCCGCTGTTACTTGTTACATGTGTGTTACATGTGTGTTCTAGATTAGAAAGCCTGAGAAAAAGAGATTTTTGATAGAATGTTGCAGCGTGTGTGTGATTGGTATAAATTGTTCCATCAATATATGTAGTTCTGTATCACTGCATGCTATAGTAGCAATTATATTATTGTATAGGCAATGGTGCCACCTAGTGTCATAAATATAATATTACATCAATAGAACATACAGGTACATGCAGGTCTACAGGAGCAGCTCTTCACTCCTAGAGTTAATTTTTGCTTTATACTAAGAAGAGGTATTCCCTAATCTGTTAAATGCATACAGAGGAAGCCTCTTACCTTGCCAGGGCTTTAAGGTTCCCATCCAGGTATAGAAGTATTGGGTCTGCTCACAGGATAATCCTCTAGCACCTCAATTGTCATCCTGGCTGCACCCTATTGCATTTTTTTTTTCAAACAAAATTTATTCAGTTTTTGGCTACACCCCTGAGGGGTATAACCCTTTTTCCCCTGTTCCATTTTATTATTATTATACAGGTTTTATATAGCGCCAACAGTTTGCGCAGTGCTTTACAATATAAGGAAGACATTACAATCACAATACAATTCAAGACAAGATGGTAAGGAGGGCCCTGCCCCTGGGGCTTACAATTTAAAAGTTCTTGGTTGCTCACCCCTTTTGCTATCGGCCCATTTCCATTGCTCCTTGTCGCCAACACTGTTCCCTAGCCTCTCTCATGCTCCATTCTAATCCTAGACCCCTCTGCTGTCATCAAGTGCTTCAAGGCAAATGCCACCTTCTCAAAAAAAATAATAATAATAAATAATAATAATAATAATAATAAATTCACACTTCTTCATAAAAGAAGAAAATGCATTTATTATTTTTTTGCATTGGTACCAGTAGAGCATTGCAACCACGACTAGTGGATCATGGGTCCAATGCTCTGGCTCCTGCAGACTCTTCCTCTCTCCCCTATCCCTACCGAGGTGTGTACATTTAGTAACATGACCAGGTGGAAGAATGAAAGGACCACAAGGGCAGTGACTTCCCCGCACTTGTATTCCATTGAGAAGTCCCACTGCCGCAGAGGTAGATGAGACTTGCAGTTTCTCCATTCACAGATCCTTTTTTTTCATTATAGAGAATACCACAAGTGGAACTAGGACAAGCAAAGTCAGGAATTACAGCAGACAGATGACTCGGCTGGAGTGTTCAACACACCGAGGACTGACACCCATAACTAAAATGTCACTTTTATGTGGACTAGCCCTTTAAATAAGGTTAGTATTAGGGTTCTGTCAGGTGTTAAGGGTTATCCTAAGGCAGGGGTGGGCAACTCCGGCCCTCCAGCTGTGCTTTAACTACAAAACCCAGCATGCTTCTGCCACTGGGAGTGATGCCTGTAACTGTCAGTCTTGCAATATCTCATGGGACTCCACAACAGCTGGACAGCCGGAGTTCCCTACCCCTGCCCTTAGGGTTAAGTAATAGGGTGGAGATTAAGAGTTAGGGGTTATCCTGCCATGAAAGTCCTTGTTATAGAAGGTTATATAATACCGCGCCTTTTAAAGGATGCCTCCCATGGTTCTCATATTCCTTATGAATCACAATGGAAATAACTTTATTAAAGCTTTTTCTATGTAGTCATGTGACCACAAAGCTCCAGCGAATGTGGGGCCTTTATACAGAGCCAACAATGCCGCTGTCACCCCAGAGAGAGGTAACACCCACCAGCAGTCCCAGATACTGGCTGTAGAAACCTCATTCAGCCATCACTGGAGTCCATATAGACAGGAAGTGGCTGCAACGATGCTGCAGGTGTTCAAAAGGAAGAAAGAAGGTAAAGATGAGTATTTTACTTGAAAAAAAATGGCAACTGGTTTTGATACACAGTGTTTTCGCAAACTAAATATCATCCAGTTAGGGTTTATCTATACTTTAAGGGCTCCTTCATACCATTAGACATGCGTTGTAGTAGCATGGCAATGCACTTTAAATGCATTGGGCAAAAGCAGCCATTCTTTTGAATGACACTTCAAGGTACCTTGCTTCGGACGTTGGGGATATCATTGACCTTATATGACCTCATCACCATACTTGGTCAATGGCATTGCCCCATGTGGCCATATAATGACATTGACCCATGTGGCTATATATTGACATTGACTTAATGACAATGCCCCATGTGACCATATAATGACAATGCCCCATGTGACCATATAATGACAATGCCCCATGTGACCATATAATGACAATGCCCCATGTGAATTGTATTGTAATTGTAATGTCTTCCTTACATTGTAAAGCGCTGCGCAAACTGTTGGCGCTATATAAATACTATGTAATAATAATAATAATTGACCCATGTGGCTATACAATGACGTTGACCCACGTGGTCATATAATAACATAATTGACCCACGTGGTCCTATAATGACATTGACCCACGTGGTCATATAATGACATTGACCCACGTGGTCCTATAATGACATTGATCCACGTGGTCATATAATGACATTGACCCACGTGGTCATATAATGACAATGCCCCATGAGGTCCTATAATGACATTGACCCATGAGGTCCTATAATGACATTGACCCATGAGGTCATATAAGGTTAATAATTTCATCAGCATCCCGCCCCTTTGTCTACATGCAGCGGCATGGAAATGGAATGACTTGGAGCAGTTGATTGGGCCGGCATTGTTGGTTTTCTTCCATGCTTGGGTTCAGTCCAAATCCGAGCTTACCCCTAATCTGAAGCCCTAAGATGGGAAAAAAATTTTAAAACTGTGGGAAAAAAAGAAAACCGTGGCAATTGTTTACGATATACGATGCTTTAGCAAAATAAATGTCATCCAGTTAGGGTTTAATCTACATTATGGAAGCAGATATACCCAACCCACACTGTTATCATAGGAGGCGTTACATCTTTATGCCTGAACGGGAGCCCATGGTGCCCCTGCAGCTCAGTTCATTATCACATACCACAGAATTTTACTAATTTATAGATCATAGAGATCACTCACTATGAGCTAGGTGCCTTCATCTGCTTTACATGCGGAAGAGAAAAAAAAAAACTTTGTTCCATAGAGTTTTGGCCTATTTTCTAGAAATGAACGCATACCCTCCTGCTAGTCATTACACACAATGGAGTTATTTCCAAACCCAAACCCCATCCCAACTCACAATAAAAAACAAATACACCAGATAATTTTATCATGTTTATTTATTATTATAATTCCTTATTAAATGAATCTCTCAGCTGCACAGAAGGTGACTACCTTTTCATGCTTTGTCATTGTTGTGCCTGTTTGAGCATGAACAGGTGCGGCCTTCCCTTAGTAAACATGGCCGCCACCGTCACTGACCTCTGGGAAAACACTTCCTGGCAGACGCAAGAGGCGTGACCAATAGCATTGCACGGCATGAGGAGAAGGTGGGTGTGATCGATGAAGTGACCAATGAGAGAAGCTAGCTCGGATTTCAGCCTGCCAATGGCTTGGGGACTGCAGAACGTCAACAAGGTGCGTGTTTTGTGGTGACAGACGTCCAGCGACATCCAGGAGGCATGTCCAGCGACAGTGACACCGCGGATGAGGCTGTGCGGGGTACCTGCGATGATGCTTCCATATGTAAGAGGTGAGGAGGGGCTGGGGGCGCCACAGGAACAGGGAAACATACGCAACATATACAGTCAATATATATATTTTTATATGTATGTGTTTTTTTAAATCAATTGTCACAACTTTATTTATAATTTAACGGCCCATTCAGGTGACACTTAGCTGCCCTTTTCACTGCCTGCCAAGCAGCACCCCTACCAGGGCACTCACTATACACTTTTACATTCAATGGCTCCCACGTTGCTTTTGCTCAGATCAATTGCAGAAAGTAATGGCAACGTGAGCTGATGGAAAATGAAACAACGATGGTGCTGGATCATTTTCTGCATCCGCCGCCCACATATCTGAAGCCTTAAATTGCCCTTTACTTGGCTCGGTGACTTAAATCTGAACTCCGGCCTCCCCTTCAATCATGCACGGTTGTACCGGCTTCTCTTCTGGACTGAAATGTCTTCCTCTGATTTAATTCCACACTGTGAGCTTCTCATAATGTGCAATAGAAGCTACAGCAAGTCAGATAGACCCCGCCTCATTTCCTGGATGGAGGGTGCCAAGCATCATCCATCACTTTCCTCCACAGTCTGACTCTCTCTGGCTCACCTCTTCCATTCATTGGCTTGTAGTTCTTTGGCCCATGGAGGCTCAGCATCCGATGTGGGCGTTACCTAGGGCTGCCTGTATGCAAAAACAGCCTGCCTAGGAACGCCCACTCTTTCAGACTGACACCCACCCATCAAGGCATTTTGATATTTGCATAACTCCTCCCAGTCGGTCCACTGCTTGCACCAGGGCCGAGGACTCTTGAGAGGAGCAAGTAGGCAGGGTGCTGGCATGTTTTCAGGAAGCTGTGTTCAGCATCCTGCCGGCTGCTCCAACCAGCCACGATCTGCCTGCATTTCATAAAGAAGCACAGAGACCCAATTATGACACCACTCCTTCTTCTAAGTAATGTATGTAATGAAAACCTGATTAAAAATGTCATTAGCATGTTGGGGATGAGCAAAATAATCTTTATCATTAGCTATCTTTATCCCCGGAAGCACATACCCTGATATCCTTTGCTCTATTGATGCTCTGTTGAGCCGCTAGAAATAAAGAGAATTGCCTCGTATTTAGAATGGCGTCTGGAGGAGCATGTGACTCCCCTTCTGCTGCATGCAAATACCGGTGCTTGGTGATTGGCCCAACATGGTCATATAAGGGTGGAGAAGGAGTCCATAGCTCTGTGTAAAATTGGACATGCGGGTTGGAGCCTATACAGAGACACTTTTTTTTTTTAAATTCTTAACAGCCAATCAGATCAGTGGGGGAGCGAAAGAGAGGATGAGTACATGTTGTTGGATGGGAGGAGTTGAAGTGGACCTTTTACCCATATCTTTAAAATTACAACACACACCTTTAGAAATATTGAGTAATGACAATCTAGACATACTTCTAGATAATTGCCGGCTTTGTATTCTTTGCATTCCGTGTTTTTCTTTTCCTCCCCAGTCCTCTGGCAGTGGCCATGTTTAATAAGGGCAGATTAATCCATCTCCCTGTACTTCCTGGAACTCTGGCACATGTGACTAGGACATGTGACCATGCCCATCATCTCGGGGGAGGAAAATGCCTTTCCCTGAGATCTCGTGAGATTACACATGAGATTTCCCAGCAATGTTCTGCTGATGTAATCTTCCCAGGATGCAATGCCCATTACATCATTTGTGCCAAAAACCACCAGGAAGAGGAAAAACAGTAATTGTAAGTAAAATTAAAATACGTTTGTTAAAATACGTTTGTTTAACTAATGAGTGTAAGATGATTTTATCTCAGCATGCAGAGCTGTATGGTGATGTGATTTTTTGTGAAAGGTGGTAAAGGACCGCTTTAAGTGAGTATAGTACTTGCACAGGCAAAGCAAAGCTTTTGCTGCATTATGGTCCCCAAAACAAGCACTGCCCTGGTGAAGCACAAAGATGGCACCACTGCGCTACATTGTGGAAATGCATTGGCAAAACATGGGCAGTCCATTTGTGACCCCAAGCGGTCCTGGAGCTCCCTGAAGTAGCTGTTCAGATATTTGCATTAGAACCCTGCACCTCCCACACAACATTGAGCTTTGCTTTGTCAGATACAAGCGGGGTTTGTGATTATTTCCCAACTTTTATTTTCTGACTTGTACAGGCAGTCCCCGGGTTACGAACAAGATATGGACTAGGTTTGTTCTTAAAGGAGAACTATGGGGTCAGGGCTTTTCCCCATAGTTCTCCTAAGGGTAGCAGGGGGACACAAACTAGCGTCCTCCCGTCACCCAAAGCTCAGTATATACTGAGACGCCGCAGCCGGGATGGATCCCGACATTACTGTCTGGATCCGCCCAGCTGCGTGAGTGGCAACTGGCTCTGCCTATCCAGAGGCAGAGCCAGCTGTACCCGCCCCGTCCGTTCCGCCAGTCAGCGCTGGAAAATCGAAGCGGGGAGGGGGAGCCGTGAGTGACGGTCACGGCTCTCTGCAGGGACAGGATCGAGACGTGAACGACGGTATGTGTTCGCTCACTTCCCGATCTACTGAGCCGACCTGTGACAGTCTCATTGTGACAGGTCGGATAGAACTATGGGGCTGAGTGATTTACACTCGCCTCATAGTTCTCCTTTTAAGTTGAATTTGTATGTAAGTTGGATCAGGTAAAATTTTTAAGTTCAGCGAAAAAAAATATTTTCCTTTTGGATAGCATAGGGAAGGATTAAACCCCTGTAATGTTTGTTTTGCTGTGTGTGCCCCTGTTCAGAAGATTTCACTTCACTTTCTGTCCCTGAGACAATTGGATTTTCAACAATTGGCGTTGTCGTGGAAACAAGGATTGGTGATCAAGCTTCGGTGGAGACACCTTTTTCCCATGATAACTCTTACAGGAGTGAATTTCCCTTCCTAGGGGTAGATTTCCTCTCACTTCCTATTGTCTCTTGGACAGGAAGTGTGATTAAATCTTTCTAATGAGGATACTAACTGCAGTAAAACCTCACAGTGACCCGGGAAGAAGAGGTGGGAACCCCTCGTCTGCATGTCTAACAAGAGACAACTTCCTGTAATGTACGTACAGTACTACGAACCAGACACAAAAAGGCGGGCACTCCTTGTCGGCACGAGCGCGGTAGCATTACAACTACTGAAACGCTGCGCGGTACACTTTGGCTGCAGCCTGGGACCCCGTGCTGTACAGTAATAGCCTCCGTTTGTAAGTAGGGGTCGTATGTAAGTGCGATGTTTGTAACTCGGGGACTGTCTGTATATATAGAACTAGTAGAGGTGTCGGCTGAATCCATTACAGATCCATGCATCATGTGATCACTTCTCTGCATTTCTTATTTCTGCAGGTTCGCCGTGAGCGTTGGGTATTGGAAAGATCCCTACATGCAGTATTTTGTCAGGCAGGCCAAAGAACGCAAGGCGCCTGAGATCAACAGAGGTAAGTCAAAGGCAATAGAAGAAGAAGAAGCAGATTCTGTGTCGTGCACTGTATTCCCTTTCTCATGCTTTGTCTCAACTGCATCTATTTTTCCATTATCATGCACATCTAAATATAACTTCCTCCATAAAGGCGGGGGAGGGATTACTGTGAGCTTCAGTTTTTAGGGCAAAGTAAAATTAAAATGTAGGTCAGGGAAAGCAATCATTTTATACAATTCTGTGCTGGTGCAAGGTCATCCAGGCTTTGATTATTTTCGGCTTGGTGGTTCTTCCAGTTTTATCAAATGTGCCACTTTATGTTAACGCAGAACTCCGAGCAAATCAAATCTTATCCCTTGCAGTGGGGCTACCCCTGCATTTCAAGGGTTAAGTGCTCGTTTTGTCTAAGGAGCTAAAATAACAGATATATTCATCCGAACGGCTATCCTGGCTTGCACTTAGACCAGGCTCTTCAGACCCCTCTGCTCCAGCGATGGAATGTTCCTCGGCATCCTCACGTCCTGTACTGTGCATATGACGTGATGACTCACAGGACCTTAGATCGCTGAAGTAGAGGTGGCTTGCTCTTGGACCGGTCTCTTCAGCCTTGCTCCCCCTCTGCTCCAGCGATGAAATGTTCCTCAGCATCCTCACATCCTATACTCGGCATAGGATGTGATGACTCACATGACCTTAGATCTCTGGAGTAGAGGGGGAGCGAGGCTGAAGAGACCGGTGTAAGAACAAGCACCCTCTACTGCAGTGATCTAAAGTCCTGTGAGTCATCACATCCTATGCAGAGTATAGGATGTGAGGATGCTGAGGAACATTCCATCGCTAGAGTAGAGGGGGGGCAAGACTGAAGAGACCGGTCTAAGAGCAAGCCACCTCTACTTGAGCGATCTAAGGTCCTGTGAGTCATCACATCCTATGCAGAGTATTGGATGTGAGGATCATTCCAGGCTGATGGGATCCCTCTAGTAGCCAGCTAGGTTTGCGGTTTCGATGAGTTTACCTTTATTTTAGCTCCCTAGACAAAACGATCACTGAACCTTTGAAGATTGGTGGCTGTGAGAAACTTATTGGTGCTGACTGTTGTTTTACATCAGGCACATCAGGGAGCCTGCATTGGGTGTGTTTAGGAATAGCTCTCCTGCAGGGGTTTCCAGGTCACCAGATTACTGACTAATGGGACTTGGAGGAACTGTTGTGCTAGAGTTATGCCTGGATTAAAAACTAAAGGACTGAGTCTATTGGCTGTGCTCCCCATACACATCTCCAGGCTTAATCTTCAGTTTTGATTGGGCATCAAAACAGAAACTTAAACTTCATCTGTAATGAAGAGAATTCTACCATTAGTGTGGTATGAAGTAGCCCTGCAGGTTTTCCCCATTATTGTCACTAGGTGGCAGTACAGTTCCTTCCTCTAGTATTGTATGTTTGTAAATGTGAACCTGATTGAATCCGCATTGATTTTTCTTCTTTTGTCGCTTTTCCTGTTTCTTAGGGTACTATGCTCGGGTCCAAGGGGTCAGTCAGCTACTCTATGCCTTTTTGAAAAGGACTGAATGCAATTGCCAAGTCATTAACCTCGGAGCTGGGCTAGACACAACATTCTGGAGGTTAAAGGTAAGTTCTCTTATGTATCAGACAATTGAAAGTCTAGCTGAACCAAACTGAAATCCAATGCTTCCTGGAGGTCTGACATATTAAATATATATCTACAGTTGTACTCGGGGCCCATTTCTACTGTTAAAATGTGCTTAGAGAAACACAGGGCTTCCATTGCTGACCTCATTTTATAATCGTAGTTGTCTCCCTGGAATAGGCACACAGCAGCCAAGTCAAAGTGAAATCAGAACTGCTGATCTGCATACGTATTGCAGGTCAGGGACTTGCTTAAAGTGACTCTTACTTAAAAAAAAATCTGAATAAAAGAGCCCCTGGTAAAGCATGCAGGTAATACTTACCTGCCCTGGTGCCTGAGCAACTGATCTCCCAGTGCCGCTCCAGATGAGTCAATATAAATCACTCTTCTGCAAACACCAGGTTCTAGTTTGGCCCTTTCTTCTGAAACGGCATGCAAATACAAGACAAAAGAATCACTAAGCCACTGCCCTGCAGAAATTCTTTTTTATTGTATCCCAGCAAGAAAGATTGAATGCCGTTATGCATTTTGCTCTGTTCTTTATGATTGCGAGCACTGTGATACGTGCTTGTAACCCAGCTAGCCGTGATGCAATAAGGTAATTTTTCTGCACTCCAGTGTTGAAGTAACACTTTTGTTTCATATCTGCATCAAGTTTGCTTGGGTAGACTTAAAGGAGAACTATGAGGTTAAGGCTTTTCCCCATAGTTCTCCTTAGGGTAACGGGAGGACACAAACACTCTTCTGAAAACTGCTGCGGTCATAAAGACATTTTATGTAACAAATTACTTTCTATTGGAGTAATCAGCTAATTGTTTTACAATCCTTCCAGGATGAAAACCTCCTCCCTAAGAAATATTTTGAAGTGGATTTTCCTGCAATAGTTTCTCGAAAGCTTTACAACATAAAGTAAGTGGGTTGCACAGTTTACTTCTCTGTTGGGATTACAAGCAGATATATATATATATGTGTGTGTGTGTATATGTATATATATAATAATGTACACACACATATACACACGATATTGCCAAAAGTATTGGGACGCCGGCCTTTACACGCACATAAACTTTAATGGCATCCCAGTCTTAGTCCGTATGGTTCGATATTGAGTTGGCTCCGCCCTTTGCAACTCTTCTGGGAAGGCGCCCACAAGGTTTAGGAGTGTGTCTATGGGAATGTTTGACCATTCTTTCAGAAGCGCATTTGTGAGGTCAGGTACGGATGTTGGACGAGAAGGCCGGGCTCACAGTCTCCGCTCGAATTCATCCCAAAGGTGTTCTATCGGGTTGAGGTCAGGACTCTGTGCAGGCCAGTCAAGTTCCTCCACCCCAAACTCGCTCATCCATGTCTTTATGGACCTTGCTTTGTACACTGGTGCGCAGTCATGTTGGAACAGGAAGGGGCCATCCCCAAACTGTTCCCACAAAGTTGGGAGCATGAAATTGTCCAAAATGTCTTGGTATGCTGATGCCTTAAGAATTCCCCACACCATAATCCCCCCTCCACCAAACTTTACACTTGGCACAATGCAGTCAGGCAAGTACCGTTCTCCTGGCAACCGCCAAACCCAGACACGTCCATCGGATTGCCAGACTGAGAAGCGTGATTCGTCACTCCAGAGAACACGTCTCCACTTCTCTAGAGTTCACGGCATCCGACGCTTTGCATTGCACTTGGTGATGTAAGGCTTGGATGCAGCTGCTCGGCCATGGAAACCCATTCTATGAAGCTCTCTACGCACTGTTGGTGTGCCAATCTGAAGGCCACACGAAGTTTGGAGGTCTGTTGCTATGGACTCTGCAGACAATTGGCGACTTCTGCGCACTGTGTGCTTCAGCATGCGCTGACCCCGCTCTGTCATTTTACGTGGCCTACCACTTCATGGCTGAGATGCTGTTGTTCCCAGTTGCTTCCACTTTGTTATAATACCACTAACAGTTGACCCTGAAATATTTAGTAGCAAGGAAATTTCACGGAACACCTAAATTCAATTATTTGGAGAGATGTCCCAATACTTTTGGCAATAGTGTGTGTGTGTCACAGTCACCTGACTTAAAACCCCATAGAAAATCTCTGGTGGGATTTAAAGGTGGAGGTTGCAGCACACAAACCCAAGAATTTTACTGAATTGCAGGCCTTTGCTCATGATGAATGGGCTAAGATTCCTCAGGAACACTCCCAGAAGTCGGTGTCTGGCTATGCATTTCGTTTGCAGATGGTCATGCCAGCATAATGGTGCGCTACAAAGTACTAAAGATATTTGCCACGAATGGGGTTGAATAATTTTGAGACTGCAGAAGTCATTGTGATTTGTTAATTGCAAGCAGCTGAAGGTCTGTAAATATTGCCAATAAACCTGATTTGCAAAAAGTCCCGTCCTGACCGTAGTGTTGCTGTGATGTACTGATCTGCCCTCTGAGCAAGACGAACGCAACTTTAAGATACCCCTGTCTGACTCTTAATCTTAGCCTAGACCTATACTTGAGTATCCCCATTATCAATGATATATGATAATACTAGTAATCCATGAAGGCTTTTCACCTATGTACCACAAAGCAATACATATTTATTACTTGACTATAGAGATATCCGCAGATTGCCAGAGGTCTAACTTGAAACCCAAGTGGATTTTTTGTTGGCTTGAAAGATTTACACCCATTCCATGCAAATGCAGCTTCAAGAGACCCATGCCTTGCATTTTTTTTCTGCTAACAAAAATTGTCCAATCAGGGCCGAACGAACTTGAACATTTCGGATTGCTTTTAAATTTCTGCCTTGTTTTAACAGGTCCAAACCTCCTCTTTCCAAGCCAATAATGGAAACCCACAATGGAGACTCCCTGCTAATAGGTTGGTATTTCCTTGGATGCACATTTGCTTCTGCAGCTTGTATTTCGTATTAATGACAGTGGGTCTGTATGAAAGCCACAAAACTAACATTTTCAAAGATAAGTCAGCAATGGAAGCCCCCATGCTGTTTATGGGACACGTGTGTCTTTAATAAAAAACTAATCTAACCTCCCCTAGCCTTCCTGACCTAATCTACACTGAAAATCTCCACATCAGCTGCTTATTTACCTCATTAGCACTAGAGATCCTTGTGCTGGTCATTCACAGTATGAATTTTGTCTGATTCCTGCTGAATCAGCCAAAATGCAAACCATGGGTAGGCCTGCTGGCACCAACCAGCTCCACAAAATGTGATTTAACATTCGACTTAGCTAGGTGGAAAATTTATCAGTCCTATCAGATACAGTCATGGTTCGGGTATAAATACAGACGAGGGTGCCGTGGCTCCTGAGCACAATAGCCGGAAGGGGGGAATTTCTTAATCTATGCCGTTTAGCGTGGATAGGCCATTGATTGATTTTTCTCTCAGCTGTCACTTTCACAGCTGTCGCTTTTCTGCTTTCATGGTTGGTCAGCATTCCGCAACGCTTTATAGCCAGGATTATTTTTACTGCTTGTAAACCGTAAGCTTTGCCATTTAGTTATCTCCTTGAATTGGCCCATTGTAAAAGGCTTGTATCAAGGCGAAAGGTGTCAATTCCTCCAGCGACTATGCACTTTGCTCAGCTCTCTCCCTGTTCTACCCTATGATTGTAAGTCCAAAAAGCCACATTGTCATTAGTGTAGTGCGTGCCGCTGTTTATGTTGTCTATATGTGTGGGAATATACCTTTCCTGGGCTCAGAAATATATTGCACCAATATTAGTATACTGCAAGGTAATCACACACAGAACTTGTTTATAGGTGCTAAGTAAGCAGCGCAGTAAAGAACAGTAAAATGTAACTGCACCCAATACTCATGTAGCAGTTTTTGGACTCTGAGATTTTTTTCTTTATAATTCTTTATTTTGTAAAGCACGAGCATCCATACAAGGATATAACACATAGTCAGCATAACAATATAAATCAAGACTCTCATTGTGAAGTGCAAGTAGCAGGCTTGATCACCTTAGCATGAATCTCGTAACTTTTCCTTTTCCATTTAAGCAACATTGATAACAATATCCGTAGTATGCAAAGGGTCTCGGACCATAACATAGACAGGTGTCATGTGCATCTCTCTCCCTGTGTCGCCCTAAAGGTGGCCATACACTGTACAACCATCGCAAGACCTTAGTCTTGCGATGGTTGTAAAGTGATTAAAAAAAACATACGATCTGCCCATCTTGGACAGGCAGATCGTACTCTCGATCATCGCAAGCCCGCCCCCCTGAGGGGGGCCCCCCAATGGGATATCTGTCTCTAAGCGCTCAGGACCCCTGAGGGTCGGTCGGCTGTCGGTCGGTCCTGGTCAACGTGCCTCCGTTATTCCGGGGAGAAGAAGAACTCCGTCCAAGGAGACCATACCTTACAAAAAGTGTTATGGATTTTTGAAGAAAGTATCCTTGCAGTGGTTATAACGAAACCCATAAACAAAAATTCCATATTATGCAGCTTACCGGGCCTTAGATGTGGGGACACTTACTGTGTGGCCCTTGGGGCCCCTGCAGACAGTAGACTGTGTTTTTATTATCTAAGTTTACCTAAGTGATTACTCGAGCCAGCAAAGGAAAAATATTTTTTAGACTGGATTCCAGTAGATAAATGTTTTTGTTTTCTTTCTCTCACGCTAGCTTATTCACACAATGTGAGAGCATTGATTTGCAGAGGGACTGTGATATCGGTGGTCTCTAGTGGTCTCTTGTAAGGTGTCTACAGTTCATGGCAGTCTTCTGAAGTATGAATCCAGTCTCCAACAACTTCTATAACATGTTGGGTCATACGTGGTCACTGATCGCCTCCTGTTGCATGTAATATTATTATTACTATACCGGATTTATATAGCGCCAACAGTTTGCGCAGCGCTTTACAATAGAAGGAAGACATTACAATCACAATACAATTCAAGACAAGATGGTAAGGAGGGCCCTGCCCCTGGGGCTTACAATCTAAAAGGGAGGGAGAAGTGATACATGAGGAGGTAACTGTGTGGGGATGAATTGTTTGAGAACGTGATGGTTCAGTGGTTAGGTTGAGGTGGGATAGGCTTCCCTGAAGAGATGAGTCTTAAGGGATTGCCTAAAGGCAGTCAAGGTGGGAGATAGACGGACAGGTTGGGGTAAAGAGTTGCAGAGGATGGGAGAGACTCTAGAGAAATCCAATATATGTAGTCTCTGTCCATGTCTTGTAACATTCCCGTAGGCTTTGACCATCTCCTGTATCATGTCTGCAGTCTCTGACCATGTCTTGTAACATTCTCGTATCATGTCTGTAGTCTCTGTCCATGTCTTGTAACATTCCCGTAGGTTTTGACCATCTCCTGTATCATGTCTGCAGTCTCTATCCATGTCTTGTAACATTCTCGTATCATGTCTGTAGTCTCTGTCCATGTCTTGTAACATTCCCATAGGATTGACCATCTCCTGTATCATGCCTGTAGTCTCTGTCCATGTCTTGTAACATTCCCATAGGATTGACCATCTCCTGTATCATGTCTGCAGTCTCTGTCCATGTCTTGTAACATTCCCATAGGATTGACCATCTCCTGTATCATGCCTGTAGTCTCTGTCCATGTCTTGTAACATTCCTGTAGGCTTTGACCAGCTCCTGTATCATGTCTGCCGTCTCTGTCCATGTCTTGTAATATTCCCGTAGTCTTTGACCAGCTCCTGTACCATGTCTGCAGTCTCTGTCCATGTCTTGTAACATTCCCGTAGGATTGACCATCTCCTGTATCATGTCTGCAGTCTCTGTCCATGTCTTGTAACATTCCCGTAGTCTTTGACCATCTCCTGTATCATGCCTGTAGTCTCTGTCCATGTCTTGTAACATTCCCGTAGGCTTTGACCATCTCCTGTATCATGTCTGCAGTCTCGGACCATGTCTTGTAACATTTCTGTATCATGTCTGTAGTCTCTGTCCATGTCTTGTTGCATTCCTGTAGGCTTTGACCATCTCCTGTATTATGTCTGCAGTCTCTGATCATGTCTCGTAACATTCCTGTAGGCTTTGACCATCTCCAGTATTATGTCTGCAGGCTCTGACCCTGTGTTGTAACATTCCCGTAGGCTTTGACCATCTTGTGTAGCATGTCTGCAGTCTCTAAACATGTGTTGTAACATTCCCATAGGTTTTGACCATCTCCCATATCATGTCTGCAGTCTCTGACCATGTCTTGTAACATTCCTGTAGTCTTTGTTCATCTACTGCAGTGGTTCTCACCCTTTCTAGGGCCGGGACCCCTTGGTAACATTTGCCAAATTGTGGTGACCCCCAACGGTAAAATGTAGGGTTGACGCGGCTGCCGCCGCGACATCTGGCGGTGTGGCGGGAGAACTGACACTGCTGCGCTAGGAGAGAGCTGAGGAGGACTCTCACCTAGCACAGCAGAAATCACACAGCGACCAGCAGGTTGAGAACCACTGTTGTAACAGCTAAAATGGCACACCATATAACACAAGCCGAGGGTGTCAGCTTTTATTATTAATAATAATGATGATAATCTAATAGCTATCTAATAGTGGGAGACTTCCGGCGACCCCTGGCAAATTGTCATTCGACCCCCAAAGAGGTCCCGACCCACAGGTTGAGAACCGCTGATCTACTGTATCATGTCTGCAGTCTCTCTCAGAGCGAGAGTGCAGTGGGGAGAAGAGGAGACCCTGGAGCCAGCGTGTGATATGATCATGGATTTAGATAAGGAAAAATGGACATTAAGATTAGGATTTTAGCATAGCAGTTAGTTGGGGGTGCTGGGTTGGTGTACATGATGCCCGGAGGACGTCTTAAAACTCTTATTAAAGAGTGCAAGTTTGATTGGTTAACATAGACAAGACAGACAAATCCTATTTACACAGTTTGATAAAGATCGGTACTTTCCTATTGCCACCACAGAAAAACCTGTGCTTTCCAATGCTTGCTGTGTAATTGAATCACCTTGGACAGGCTTGTGTGTATCCTCTTCCATAGTCCTGTTATCAGAGGCAGTAAAACCTCCTGTGGGTCATAGATTTCCGATCTCCGCCAGGTCCATAAGAGATTAATGCCAGTCTGCGCCATCCTTCAGACACTTGTATACTTACCCCTGTTTGACTTTTATTTCCATAGATGCTTACAGCCTACACTCCTCACGATACTCCATCATTGGGGGAGATCTGAGAAACCTGAAGGACATGGAGGAGAAGCTAAAGAAAGCTGGCATGGACCCACAGTAAGGTGTCTATTTAAACTGGAAGTCCAGAATTTAACACACACCATTTACCTTAATATTACCCTAAAGCAGACCTGTGCTTTGTCTATGAAGGTCAAAGCAACAGGTTCCCCTAAATGCCCCACTTTACATATGTCGCAGCTTACAAGTTCTTGGATGCGGTGCCTGCATTTCTTTTCCTTTTTTAAGGCTAAGACAATTTTCTGCCTAATACCTGATATCCAGTGTCCTTGTAATTTGCTGTGGACTGAATTGAAATCTTAAACAATGTTATCAGCTTTCTCAGCTATCCTTTGTGAACTACAAAGCAAAACTCCTCTATGTATTGGAGAGGGTGAGGTGTTTGTAGCCCAGTCGGGCAGCACAGGACAGGAAGCATGTTACTGGCAGGATCTCTAGGTGATAACTAGTGATGAGGCTGGGATTTGTGTGGGCTCTGTTCACCCAAGCCTGCTCAAAACTCTGACCGCCACTGGACCCAATCTCCCTTTGTGACCTTTTAATTTCGGGACAGGGAATGCACCTCCCCACAACTGATTGGGTCAGGAGGAGGGGGCGACGGTTAAGAGTTTTGAGTGGGCCTGGGCGAATGGAGTTCACACCAAGCCCAGCCTCATCACTAGTGATAACAAAAAGGGAAAAAAGCCTGCAAAAAGAAAACTAATGCAGCTGCACTATATAACATTTTTTCTTTTGGTTTAGATACACTTTAAGTACAAAATTCCCTTGAAGCTAACTTAACAGTCTTGCTGAGTGTTATAAAAGGAGAAAATGTTGCTGATGGACTTTGCCTTTAATGGGAGTTTGATATAGTGTTGTATATTAACCTGTTACCATAAAAAAAATTATCATGAGCTGATGGTATCTGTAGTAACATGCACAGGCTTGTATTCTTTTTATGTGATAAGAACAAATAAAATAAAACCTTTTTAACTGTTGTAATTACAGATTTCTATCCATGTCTCATATTCCAATGTTATGGTTGAGAGTGGTGCTGGATCTAAAGGCAGTTTGGATTATTTTAATTAGGGAAGCTCTGATACCATTTTTATGCGCTGTCGAGTACCAATGATTTTTTTCGGTACTCACCGATACCGGAAGTCCCATTAAGGAAGCCAGGCGACGTGTAATGACTCACCGCTTGGCTTCCTGATTAGCCGGGAAGCCTTCTCCATGCTATCTCGTCACCAGGTGATGAAGCATGGACCCGGCTTTCTGGCCAATCAGGAAGCTGGGGGTGGGTAATGACTCACTGCCTGGCTTACTGATTGGTCAGCTTCCTGACCAATCAGGAGGCTGGGCGGCGAGTCATTACACGCCACCTGTCTTCCTGATTGGCCAGGAAGCCAGCTCCATGCTTGCTCGTCACCAGGTGACGAGGGAGCATGGAGACGGCTTCCCGGCCAAGTCATTACCTGCCCCCCTGGCTTCCTGATTGGCCGGGAAGCCAGCTCTATGCTCCCTGGTGATGAGGGAGCATGAAGCCGGCTTACCAGCCAATCAGGAAGCAGGGCAGCATGTAATGACTCACTGCCTGGCTTCCTGATACTGGAAGTTCCGGTATCGGGAGCATTTGGGCGAGTACAAGTACTTTCCCAAATACCCGGTATCGGCACCGATACTAGTATCGGTATCGGTGCATTCCTAATTTTAATGGTGTGGAGATCAGGGGTTATTGAGGTGACCAGAAGGCTTAAAAACTGTTCCTGGACCACATTTACCCTTTACACCTAAGGCCCCCATTCACACTGAGCGATTTATCGCGCGATTATTGCAGCGATATCGCTCATATTTCGCTCTATGTAGCTTCTCCAATCCATTTCAATGGAGCTCTTCACATCTCGCCGCTCAATATCGCTTGTAGCTCGTCGCTGGTAGCTTGTTGCTCCTACATGACCCTTTTTTTCTGCGGATTTCGAGCGATTTTGCTCCCGATTGCATACAGCCCAATAGGAAAAAGTCGCGAGACACGTTGCGCAATATCGCACATATAAAATCGCGCGGAAAATCGCGCAATTTTCATGTCGCTCAGTGTGAATGGGACCTAAGTCATAAAGCAAAAACAGCAGGATGAGGAGCCTTAGATTTAAAAAAATGACATTTATTGACAGTAGAGAACCCGCAGAGGAGACGGTTATTTTCAGTTGTGTCCAATGAGATTGTAAAATAACAGTCACGTGACTTAAATAAAGATCCTTATCCTTGTGTTACAAGCTTTGTGAATTGACCGTATTGAGGGACTTTGTGTGAAACAAGACAAGATGTATTTATTAAAAGTTGGTAGCCGACACATTCGGGGGGATTTTATGATCCCCCTTCTTCAGATCTTGCTGCTGCACCACAAATTCTCTTCTTAGAGACCAGCCAGATATAGATTCTGTAGCAGCTGCTTTGTGCGATCACAAGCTCTGAAGAAGGGAGCTTCGAGAACAATTCTGAGCAAAATTATTCTTAACCCTTGTAGTGGGGCTTCCCTCCCCTGCACTGCAAGGGTTAAGTGCTCGTTTTAGTCTAGGGATGAAAATAAAAAAGTTTTATACTCACCTGAACCTCGCAGCCGGCTGGCTCCTAGACCAGTCTCTGGAGCCTGTGTTCTCCTCCACTCCAGCGATGGAATGTCCTTCAGAGTCCTCACATCCTATACACTATAGGTCGTGATGACTCGCAGGACCTTAGGCCACTGCAGCTGAGGGGGAGACAGTCTCCAGGGACTTGCTCTGAGGATAAGGTATACCTTATTTTCATCCCTAGACTAAATGAGCACTTAACCCTTGCAGTGCTGGGGAGGGTAGCCCCACTACAAGGGTGACGAATCATTTTTTCCAGAGTTCTCCTTTTAAGATTTTGTCCAGGTTGTGACTTGTATGAAATCTTCTCTAAGTTTCTGTCTTTATTACCAGGCTGCCAACGTTGTTCGTGGCAGAGTGTGTGCTGATTTACATGACCCCCGAAAAGTCCGCCAACCTCCTGAGGTGGGCAGCAGAGACCTTCCCCACCGCCATGTTTGTAAGCTACGAACAGGTAAAGAATCGTATGATATTGCCCTCCGCTTTGTAACCTGTCACGTGATCATGAACATTGTTGTACAATTGTCATTTAGAATGTAAATTTGTATACAAGATTGGTTGAACCACCAAAGAAAATTAGGACACCACACCTCTAAATAATTGAATACCAACAAAAGAAGTGTCATGGGGCCTTTAAGGTGTCACATCCGGATATACAGGTTACAATCACATACAAAACATTCCTAATCAATTATTGAAAAACAAATTATTTATTTATAAAAAAAATTACATGATTGTTTGAAGTATTCATAAAACTAGGGATGCACCGATACCGGTATTTCGCTACCCAGTGACGAGAAAGCATGGAGACGGTTTGCTGGCCATTCATGGAAGCCGTTTGGCCAGGAAGCCGGCTCCATGCTCCCTCGTCATGAGGTGGCGAGGGAGCATGAAGCCCGCTTCCCGGCCAACCAAAAAGCCGGGCACTGTGTAATTACACGGCGCCCAGCTTCCTGATTGTCCAGGAAGCCGGCCCCATGCTCTCTCGACACAAGTGAAGAGGGAGCATGGAGCCGGCTTCCCGGCCAATCAGCAAGCCGGCTTCCCGATGCAGGAAGTATCGGGCTAGGCATCGAAGCATTTGGGCGAGTACGTGTACTCGGCACCGATAGCGTTACTAGTATCGGTATCGGTGCATACCTACATAAAACCAATGTAAAAAACATATCCCCAGAAAGCAGATTCTTATCCCTCGACACAGCGCCCCCCAGGATCACACATGCGCATCATATACAGTCTTATCTATTTTATAAGTTGCTTAACTTTAAGAGCGGCGTGGTATGGCGCAGCGTGTGATCATCTCGGAGAGAGTGGAGGAAGTGTGTACACTAAAGTGGACATTAAGGCTGGGTTCACACCTAGGCATACCGAATATGCGCGTTTGCAGCGCGTTTTTACCACGATTTTTACAAACGTTTCCGAGGGCTATCCGGCTGTATCCTAATGGATACGCGCAGCAAATACGCCCTAAAGAAGCTCCTGTACTTCTTTGGGCGTAGGGCGTTTTGCAGCGCATTCCTACGCGCTGTAAAACGCCCAGGTGGGAACCATGCCCATAGGCAATAATTGGTTTTCACATGTTGAGCGTTTTTATAGCGCGTAGGAACGCGCTGTAAAACGCCCAGGTGTGAACCAGGCCTTAGGGTTGTTCGATTCCTCCATTTCCACTGTCCCTGCCTATTCTTCTCCTCTCTCCGCCTCCTTGGGATTGTGGGAGTTGCTACCCGGATCAGTGGATTGACTCATTGCCACTTGCCAGAAAAATGATCTTTGCTACAGGCGACCTCCCATACTTCCTGAAGAAGCTCGTGGGGAAACGCGTTGAAGGCTGGACTCACTGCACACTCAAGCATGAATTTAAGAGAAAACAACAAACAAAAATGCGATATACATATTGTTAAAAATTAAGCACCTTAGGAAATAGATAAGACTGTATATGATGCGCATGTGTGATCCTGGGGGGCGCTATGTCTTGGGATATGAATCTGCTTTCTGGGATATGTTTTTACATTGGTTTTTATGTATACTTGAAACAATCATGTCATTTTTTAAATAAATAAATAATTTTGTTTTTCAATAAATGATTAGGAATGTTTTGTATGTGATTATAACCCGTATATCCAGATGCGACACCTTTTAAAAGCCCCATGACACTTCTTTTGTTGGTATTCAATGTAGAATGTAAAGTCAGCCATAAACATGAGATAGATCCAGCCAGATTGGATAACCATTTCATGTCTATGGCAGCAGCAACCCCCTCATCGTCGCCTGTACCCCCAGCCAACCGCTGTTGGGGTGTAGAAGATCAATTGTACACTTTATTTATATAGCGCCAACCATTGACTGAGCGCCTTACATAGTCACATTCACATCAGTCCCTGTCCTCAAGGAGCTTACAATCTAAGGTCCCCATCCTTACATACATACATACATACATACTGTATTTGCCGCCGTATAAAGTGACTGGGCGTATAAGACGACCCCCTAATTTTTCTGTTAAAACATAGGTTTTGGGCTATACTGGTCGTATAAGACGAGTATAGCCCAAAATAATGTTTAAATACACCCACTAACCTCCATGGCGGTATTCCCGAGTGTGGCTCGGGGTTAATTTTTTAGTACCATAAGCGGTAACCCCGAGCCACACTTGGGTTTACAGTCTCTTACCTTGCCCACGATCCCCGCTGTGTCCTCGGGGTTCCGTCCCTTGCGAGCGTCTGCGTCGCAGGGGGGCGGAACCGGCGGGAATTTTAAAAGGAAAAAATAGAGCAAAAAATAATAATAATCAGACCGCCAGGGAGGCTAATCTGTCAGCCCGCAGGATGTGCAGTAATACTGTATGTACGGTAGCTTCGGCTACATACAGTATACCGCGCTGAGCCAATCACGGCAGGCTTTGTCGTCATTAATAAAATACATCGCTCGCCGTGATTGGCTGAGCGCGGAATACCGTATGTAGCCGAAGCTACTGTACATACAGTATTACCGCACATCCAGCGGTATACGCGCCGTATAAGAGGACCCCCGATTTTCGGGGGATGTTTTTAAGTCCAAAAACTCGTCTTATACGCCGGCAAATACGGTACATACAGGGCTGATTTTAGACTGGAGCCAATTGACCTTCCAGCATGTCTTTGGAGTGTGGGAGGAAACCACAGTACCCGAAGGAACCCTATGCAAGCACAGGGAGAATATGCTAACTCCACACAGATAGTGTCCTGACCAGGATTTGAACTGGGGACCCCCAGTGCTGCAAGGCAGAAGTGCTAACCACTACGCCAAACCTTAAGGAGTTACATCCAAGCTCATCCAACTCACTGCTCCCCTCTCTCTGTCAATTTAAATGTGTACGCTTGTGTGAGCTGGATGTACATGTTTATGGCTTCTCTTTGCTGGCATCTCATTCCAGCAACATGCACAAAGATGGCTCCGTCTTTCTGGAGAAAAAACACAGATGAAGGCATTGTCAGGGGAGTACTGTGATCTTTTGTGAATAAATACCTGGAAGTGTTACTCATTATAAAGAGCAGCCTTCATACATCGGTGATAGACTTTGAACATACACAACCATTACATGACTACTTTGATTCAGTAGAGCCCAAGATAAACACGGACTTAGCTGACAGAACAGGAAATGTTATTTATGAATTCTAGACAATCTTATTTGCCTTCTCTTCCTATAAACGCCGGCCTGGCTGGACCCGATTCAGCTGGCTGGATACGTTGATGGTTTATGAGATGTCAAAACATTTGATGGGAACAGACTTAGGTTTTAAGGTTTTAAGAGGCAGCTTGTGATAAGAAGTGTCTGTAAACCTCTGTTCTCATCCTAACCAGGTCAACATGGCGGACCGCTTTGGGCAGATCATGGTAGAAAACCTGCAGAGGAGACAATGTAACCTGGCGGGTGTGGAGGCCTGCCAGTCACTGCAGTCTCAGGTGAGGAGACCACTGCTGACCTTCTCTTAGTACCACACTGGTTTAAAGGGACAGTCCACCCAGACTTAATATTACGTATTGGATAAAAGCTGGCTGGTTGAATTTTCCACCATGTGTACTCCTTTTTTTTATTTTATTTGTATTTAACCACTTGCTGTCCGGGGCATTTTCTTACTATTTGCGCACACATTTCCCCCCCCCCCCGACCCCTCACCTTGTTTCCCGGGATCCCCTGCCCAATCTTGGATCCCCCTCCACGGGCGGCAGGAGATATATTAAAAAAATAAAACCCCCAGTGGTGAATAAATACCACCAAAAGAAAGCTCTATCTGTCCCCAAAAAAGGGTATAAAATTCATTTCAGTACAGCGTTGTATGACGGAATAAATGTCAGTTAAAGTACCGCAGCGCTGAATACTGAAAAATGGCCTGGATGGGAAGGGGGTTTAACACCGCGAACTGGTTAAACACTTTATTTTCATTTTTTTTTACACTAACCCTATTGCTATCACATAGGGGGCTAACAAGCAACCTATGTAATAGCAGATAGGGTGTGACAGGGACATCAGGGGTCTCTCAGACTCCTAATGTCACCTAGGGACCCTAAAGAAGCCGAGGAAGCAGAGATCTGCTTTCCCAATTTCATCTCCTGGCTCTGGAAGGCCGGAGACTATAACGAGTGACAGCGGAAGTGATGTAATACACATCACTTCCGGGTCCAGTGATCGGAGGAGAGATCAGTGGCTAGAAGCCGCTGACTCTCTCTCCAATCTTTGTGGGGAGACACACCGAGCCGGTTCCGGGCGCCGCACGGGGACAATGGTGTCCGGGGAGGGCGCCCCACGGTACAAATGATCCGGCGGCTGCTGTTAAAAACAACACCAAGAACGGTTGCAGCAGCCGTGTTCTTGTTTTAACCACTTCTGCGGGCCGCTGTCTATAGACGTATTGCGGCCCGGAAGTGGTTAATATCCTTTATACTGCACCACCAGTAGTGCGACTCCACCTCATTTATTATTATTAATATACAGGATTAATATAGCACCAACAGTTTGCACAGTGCTTTGCAATAGAAAGGGAAACAGTACAGTTACAATTCAATACAAGATGGTTAGAAGGCCTTGCTCTTGAGAGCTTACAATCTAAAAGGAATGGGCAAATGATACAGTAACGTGACTGCTTGAATACATGAACAGTGACTGCACATGACTGACTGCAGTCACACTTTGGCCAACAACTTTCCACTTGGATGGGGTGGACATGCTACCCACGTCTACAATTTTGTCAGTTTCATCTAAAATGCGAGCAGTGTATGGCCTAGCTTTAGGCTGCCAGTGTGGCTGGAGTAGAAGCTTGTCACTGCACTCCCAGGTGAGAAAATGGTCGCCGTCCTGTTATCAGTCACACGCTCTGCTATCTGCTGAGCAAAAGTGAATAGACCTTAAGGGTATTGATTTGTATCGATTCACAGTGACTGTTTTTCTGCAAATGTGTGCATTCTTCTTAAATTGCTAGTGAAAGTGTATTCACCTGGCATGAAGGGTTTGTATACACTAGGTGGGCTGGCAATCATTTTTCCTCATTTCCCAGCACACGTTGGAATGCCTGACATTTAGACGGGCCATTGTTTTCAGTAGGTGCCTCTTGCCACCAATACATTGTGCTGCAGTGTTAAAGGAATCCCAATTAGGTGATGTAAACTCTAACCGAATCACATTATCAGGGCTATTCACTAAAGGGTGAAGAGTGTGGAGAAGGCAAGAGTAGTGAACAATCTAGGACAACATGTCCTAGCTGAATGGGAGAATTTTTCCAGATCAGCTCTGTTGTCCTAGATTGTTCACTTCTCCTGCCGTCTCCAAATTCTTCACCCTTTCGTGAATAGACCTGTTGGTTATCTGAAGCACTGTGTATCATGAGCCATGAAAACCAAAACGTTTTTTCATCTTTTGTTATGCATTGTTGCATCTCAGTGCTGCTCGTCTCCTGCAGCTTCTTTAGGATTAGTTTCCTGATGATGAAAACAGTGAAACATGCATGCGTAACGTGTGTTGAAATGGTCACTTGCTGACGCCAAACATTTGGCTTGATGATAATGCAGGATCACAGTTTGGGAGACAGGACGGACACCCACCTTCACCCTAAGCAGTGGCGGCAAGCGCAGTCCACACCTCACAGCTACATGTCATAAAGGGGAGGCCAATGGCCCTGCTGCAACTGATCAGGCCAGGAGGGCAGTGTGCCAGTCACAGTTGGGTTTGCACCAAGCCCCTGCTGATCACTAGTCTCAGTGCTGGAGTCATGTATCTGGATGAAATGGGATTTGATACCATACTTATTACCATATAAGTGATCCCTAAAGCAATCACAGAGTTGCCTGCAGGTCCTGCCCACATATTGCAATCAGTATATAAATCACATTTTTAGTGTTGCAGAAGACCACTTGTATGATTTTATAAGTTTATTTGTAACAAAAGACCTAATGAAGTGCGGAACCCCTATCATCCTCCAACAGCAGCATCTAGACCAGCCTTTCTCAGTCAGAGTGCCACTGCAAATTGTGTTTAACATTTTTGCACGGTGTCACGCAGTTCCATGGTACAGGTGAGGCATCCACCAGCACCATGGAAATGTATGATATTACTCCAGGGCGGGCTGCATCCAGGACCTCCCCCAGCATTCAGAAGAGAATTACAGTCGGCTTCCATCCAGATCTGCTCCACCTCCCGTCCTCTGCCATGCTGATGCAGCTGCAGTGTGGTGATGGTATTAAGGTACAAGTCTAATGTGAAAAGAGGGGGGACTCTGATGCGAAGCAGGAAACTCCATATCGCCTTTTTTTTTCTGCGTTGGGCCCCCCTTTAAAATCCATACAAGACCCCTTTCTAGTGTACCGGTCTGGTATACAGTAGACTTTGGGGAAACCACTCGTCATTTTTTTTCAGTTTGAATTGGGCTGTCTCCAGATTTTGCATACTTTTAAAGGGTGCCGTGACTCAAAAAAGGTTGAGCAATGCTGATCCACATGTTCCATACTTGAACATATCCAACATCTTTTGCCAAGTAGAGGTATTGCTTATACTGCAGAATAAATTTGGGGATAGGTGATTCCCCAACGAGGTTTTACAGTATTCCCAATGTACAATAAATACATTTATTGAGACATAAAGAACAGATTTAAATTCTTAATGGTCCCCCATTAGACAAAGTGTGTCTTCTCTGTAACCTCCTGCCGTCCGCCCGTTAAGAAAAAACAGACAGACGGCCGACTCGCATCAGCGGGTTGCCGTCTCCAGACGGCATTTTTTCCCTGCACGGGCAGATTTTTAATTGCTGTAAATTTTCCTTAATATAGTAAAAAATAAAAACCGCAGTGGTGATTAAATGCCACCAAAAGAAAGCTCTATCTGTCCCCAAAAAAGGGTATAAAATTTATTTCAGTACAGCGTTGTATGACGGAATAAATGTCAAAGTACCGCAGCGCTGAATACTGAAAAATGGCCTGGATGGGAAGGGGGTTTAACACCCCGGACTTCAAGTGGTTAATGTGATCAGTGGAGATGTCTTCTGACACCCAGCGGCTGGCATTTAAAGGGTGGCTATTGACTGGCAGGATTGTGCACAGATATGTAACACGTGTCTACTGTCGTCAGGACCTCCGATAAAAATACATTTGTTCCTCTGATTAATCTTTTACTAGACAAATTCCTGGCTCATGCCTGTCGATGAAGCTGACCTCAGTTTATCCTAGGGTTCATTTTGCTGCGTAGAGAGGCGATCAATTAGCCGATGGAAAGCCTCTTTTACTCACTCTACTGTTTTGTGTAGATAAGATATCAGCGACCTTATGAAATCAGGCATGAATTAATGTCATGTACAGAAGATCTATAGAACATACTGTATGACAGCTGCTGACGGATCTTGCTTGATGTAGAAGCCCAATAATCATCATATTACCTAGATTGATTTTAACCCCTTCATGACTGAGGCCTTTTTTTCATTTTTTGCACCCATGTTATATTCCACATTTTAGGCCTGAAAATTACTTAAAACCCCCACACATTATATATTTTCTGAATGCCAAGACCCTATACAATATAATGGTGGTAGTTGCAAATTTTTATGTTGCGCAATATTAGCGCAACTCCTTTTATTAAACCCCAAAATTTAGTGATAAATTTAATTAAATGCCCCAAAACACAACAAAATACCAATTTTTTAAATGAAATATAAAAGATGAGGTTACAACGAGTAAAACGATACCCAACATGCCCAGTTTACAAATGCAGTACCCCAAAAAGTCCACAGAAGACGCTTTAAAAGCCCCCACAGGTCATCAATTTAGAGATACCCCAAAATACTGGCCCTAGAATTATTGCTCTCACTCCGACGTGCGCGGCGATACCCAGCATGTGTAGCGCGTTCGTCGTTTTCATACGTAGGCGCACCGGACGCGTGTTTAGGCGGGGGCGCGGGACTTTAAAATGTTTTTTTATTATTAGATTTATTTGATAAGGAAGAATGCCACTTAGCACCAGTTGTGTTGGAATTGGCCACATAGCAGTAACCTGTTTTAAAGCCAATTTTGTCTAAATACAAGAGACGTGTTTTCTTACTTGACTCTAGGTGTGCTTTGTGTATTTCTTCCAGATCTGTGCTGTAAAAGTGTGAGACTTTGCCTCTCTGCTGGAGCTTCCTGTAATAAAGACCGGTCACTGCTGCTCTCTCTCCTTGTCCAGGGTGACTGGTCTTGTCTCCGCCCCCTCCTTTAATAAGGACCAGTCACTGCTGCTCTCTCTCCTTGTGCAGGGTGACTGGTCTTGTCTCGGCCCCCTCCTGTAATTAAGACCGGTCACTGCTGCTCTCTCTCCCTGTACAGGGTCTTGTCTTCGCCCCCTCCTGCAATAAAGACTAGTCACTGCTGCTCTCTCTCTCCTTGTGCAGGGTGACTGGTCTTGTCTCCGCCCCCTCCTGTAATAGAGACTGCTCACTGCTACTCTCTCTCCCTGTACAAGGTGACTGGTCTTGTCTCCACCCCTTCCTGTAGTTTTCTGCAGGGAGCATGTAGTGGGTTGGGGCTGCTGGGTCCATCTCTGCTCAGGCTATGTACAGCACAGTGAGGATGTTACTACCGGTACTACTTTTTCAATGTGATTTCTGTGTTTGCAAATGGGTTTCTTACACACAAAGTGGATTTATATGCAGACATAATTTTCAGGATCCGTTCCAGCTGCGGCGTCTCAGTATACGGCGAGCTGTAGCACGCCGTATACTGAGCTTTGGGTGACGGGAGGACGCTAGTTTGTGTCCTCCCGTTACCCTTAGGAGAACTATGGGGAAAAGCCCTAACCCCATAGTTCTCCTTTTAAAGGAAAGGCATTTTGCCCGGAGTCCAGCTTTAGAATGGCTACCCCCTCGGTAAACATAGATGCATTAATAAAAACTTTTATTAATTGTGTCTAAATGCTTTTAACAGTCAGCTAGACGTAGTAGAATTTGTGTCGGCCCACTACTGCCCAGCAAGCCATACTCTTGAGACTAGGACCATCATCATGATGTGTTGGAGGGGGTGGACACAAACACACTGGGCTTAATTTAATAAAGGCATAAAGGGGGGTCACTTTGCAAGGGAATTTTTCATTAGCTTGGGGTATAGGGTGAGGCTCTGTTGGCTTCCATCATCCAATCATACTGTTGGCGCTTTATAAATCCTGTATAATAATAGTATGCAAGCACAAATACTGTGTATAGTTATTTCTTTTGCACATGATTGGGTAGTCTTTTCATCTCATTCACTAAGCTAAGGGAAAACCTCCATAAAAAGTGCAAATTCCTTTGCAAAGTGAACAGGCTATTATATTTATTGAATCATCCCCTATATATTCCAGGTGAGGCGCAGAAAATGTTGTACATAGGTATACGCGTGTAAACACGCCTGTGCAAATGCCAGTAAGAGCACTGAACACGCTGCTTATCACATGGTCTTAGGATCAGGGGCAGAGGATTGTGAGTAGGGATGAGCTCAGTAAGTAAGTTATGCCAGTAAAAGCACTGAACACGCTGCTTATCACATGGTCTTAGGATCAGGGGGCAGAGGATTGAGAGTAGGGATGAGCTCAGGATCGGTCTGAACCTGGTCTGGACCTGAGTTCCTCTGAACAGGGAACTGCCATAGGCACTGCCACTCAAATCAGCTGTGGCATGGGCATTCCCTGCTCATTTCAGTCAGCATTAGATCACGATAAGACTCCAAAGACATTCTGGAAGGTTAATTGGATTCTGTCCAAAATTGTCCTTCCTATGTATGCATGTGGGATAGGGACCTTAGATTGTAAGCTCCTTGAGGGCAGGGACTGATGGGAATGTGCAGTATGTAAAGCTCTGCATAAACTGTTGGTGCTATATAAATACCTGTAATAAATAACTTAAAATCCGTTGCTCTGTTATTACAAAAGAAAAGGTAAAATTATTGTACTGTGAGCGTTCCAATTTTCCTTGCTGTCTTCCTCTGGGCTGCTGCGGGCAGCTCTACTACAGGAAAAAGAAGAGTCGTATCATTTCCCATTGGGCACACAGGATACTCGGATGTAAGTACAAGGTTCAAGGGAACAAGATGGATTATAAATACTATATACAGACTGGTAGAGATGCTGCCCCGGGTAACAAGATCAGATTTGACAGAAAGACAGGCCTATATTTTTAAATGTCGTTTTTGCATTTCTATATATCTACATCATTTTATAAATATTTTGTGATCCTTTAAAAACTAGGGTTTTCACCTAAATGTATTTGTTACAGATGGATCGATTGCTGTCTAACGGATGGGAAGCAGCAAATGCCTGGGATATGATCCGGGTATACAGCAATCTACCCCAGAATGATGTAGCACGGTATGTAACCTCATACATCTCACCTGTGCCATGTCTGAATATACACACAGTTGTTTAAAGTATAATTAAACCTAGCAAGCTAGCAAGGGAGTAAGTATATGCAAAAACAGTTAAAAAAAAAAAAAAGTTCCCAAAAAAGTTATTACTTGCCTGGGTCGCTGGCTCGCTCCTGGCAGAAGAGTAGAAACACAGTGGAGCTGAATGCACGCAGCCTGGAGCGTGCACGTCGGACAGACACCGTGGGAAAGGAAGATACAGGAGTCTGCGGTGCATCAGAGACCGACACCAGCGCCGGAGGGATCATCATTTAAAGTAAGTCCTTAAAGCAGGGGCGTCCCAAGGCTGGGTGACACCCGGAGTGGAGACCGCGTGAAGTTGCTGCGCACGTGCACGATGGCACCATTGTGCATGCACGGTCGTCTTATTGATGCCTGCCGGTGGCCATCTTGGTGATGGAAGCCAGCAGAGTGAGGAGGGGACGTTCACCCGGCGGGATGAGGTATGCCGCTGGGTCCCCTCCTCTCTCCTGACACTGTTGGGCTCTCTGTCCATGACTGAGTGCCCAACTTTTCATAGGGGGTGACACCAAAATGACAGTCATTTTGGTGTCACCCCATCCAATGGTGGCACCCGGGTGCGGTCCGCAGCCCCTGCACCCCCCTTGTGACGCCACCGCCTTAAAGCAGCATGGGGGGGGGAAATATTTGTGACTTTAATGTCACCTTAATGTCTCTTCTATGATAACGGGACAGTATTCCCCCTATCCTGTGCTAACAGGAAATCAGATGCTGTGGCCACACCCCCATTCTGGTTTATGCCCCTCCCATACAGCTGACATCCTTGGTTTGTCCACTTGAAAACATGGTGGCGGGGATCATAAATATTAATTAGAAAAGAAAACAATGGTCTTTTGTCCCTTGCAACCAATTGGCTAGAGAATAGTAGTAGCGGCACGGTCCACTGATGTGGTGGAGGGAGGGAGGTGACACGGGAAGCTGCAAAGCTAACCAGGGAATGGGAATGGTACATGCCTGGCCATGCCGCAATGGAGGAGTTTCAAAAGACTGGATGAACAGTACAAATATTTTTTCCCAGAAAGGAGCTGGCACGCACAGTCCAGTGTTGTATTCAGCCATTTTTGTAGGATTTAACTTAAATTAAAAGCTAAGTTGCTTTTCAGCTCTATTCGTATCTAAGTTAAATAATAGAAACGTCCGATTTTGTGTGAAATTAGTGGCAGAAAATCTAAAGCCAAACCAATTGTTTTTGGATATGTGTGTGTGTGTGTGTGTGTGTGTGTGTGTGTGTGTGTGTGCGCGCGCGCGCGCGCGCATATGCGTGGGTGTCTGTCTAAGCTATTTGGATTGGACACAGACATCTCTAATTCTATTGCATAGTGTGGGTCCGTGACCAGACCTGGGTTTGTAGCTTTTCTCCAACTGTGTCTGTCTTCCCCATATTGGCACTATTTGGCCTCTAAAATATGATATAAACAAGTAAGCAGTTGGCATTTTGCAGAGCTAAGTAGTGACTGCCGAGAAAGGGATCACGTTGGCCAGAGAGGGATCACTTTGAGGCAGATGGCCAGAGAGGGATCACTTTGATGCTGTTGGCCAGAGAGGGATCACTTTGATGCAGTTGGCCAGAGAGGGATCACTTTGACGCAGTTGGCCAGAGAGGGATCACTTTGACACAGTTGGCCGACTTGAACAGCATTACATGCAAATTTATTATCCCTGTTTTTATGCAAACGTTGGCAGAGGGTTAACTTAGAATTTCCATTTAAGAGATTTCCCTTCCTACTGTGTAGACACAACAGGAAGAGAGAGGAAAGTAAATCTGCTCTTAAACGCCAATCTTCAGGAAAGAAAAACCCCTTGTAGTGGGGCTATCCACCCAAACTGCAAGGGTTACCTACTCATTTTTGGAAAGGACTTGTACTTACCTGCTCCCAGTGGCTCCAAGGTCAGCGCCTGCAGCCTCTTCCCCTCTCTCCTCCGGCGGTTGGGGACCCACTGACTTCATCACATCTAATGCAGGGCCTATAGCTCTGCATTATACACGAGGACACCAGGGGACAGTCCACAAGCTGGAGTGGAGGGGAGAGAGGAGAACGCTGACTGCCAAGGGAGTGGGGATCTGGTAAGTAAAAGTCTGCGACACAAAAGCTGGCAGTTAACCCCTTGCAGTTGTGCTGCCCCTGAACTGCAAAGGGTTAACTGTCTTTTCTTTTTTTTCCCCTGGAGATAGGCTTCAAGCTCACCTTACACATTACAATCTGACTGCATGATCTTTGTACGTGCTCCTTCATGTTACATAAATCTATGTAACATGACAATCCACCTAAGCGCTTTGTATCCAATCAGAAAGGCCTTTGAACGACATATTTGTTGATAAGTCTCAAGGATATTGTACAGTCAGGTTGTATCATGTGTGATGAGTTTAGGATTTCCCCTCTATTCCTGTTCCAGTGGCAAGTGCAAACCATGTCTTTTCCCTCGATTTCAGTCCCAGCGACAGTGATCAGCAGGACAAACAGAGAAAGTGAATCTCGCCTCCGGGGACATAGACAGCAATAAGAAAACCAACAAGGGTTCAGACCCTTCCAAATGCTACACCCCAACCCAAAAAAAAAATGTAGATCATTTCATTTCATCACATATCAATGAATGTAATAAATAAGTCAAATATCATTTTGTCTTCCCTCCCCCAGGATTGAGAAACTGGAATTTCTAGACGAGAAGGAATTGCTGGAACAGCTGCTTCTCCATTATTGTATCAGCTGGGGTACAAAGGACTCATTACACTTAGGTAAGGACATTGTATCTCAGCAAATTTTAACCACTTGTGTCCCAGGCCTTATTTTTTACCATAAAACACCCTCGAGTCCCAGAGAGGGTTTTTTGTTGTTGTTTGGGCGATGTCTTAGTTCCGCACCTTTGTGTGTGTAATGGGGGCTCTGGATAAAAAAAACCACGCAGCTCTGCAGCAACACATCACTTCTTATTTATTTATTACAGGTATTTATATACTGTAGAGCCGACAATTTACGCAGCGCTTTACACAGTGCACATTCAGATTAGTCCCTGCCCTCAAGCAGCATACATATCTGGGGTCCCTATCTCACATGCATACATACAAGGGCCAATTGTAGACAGGAGCCAATTAACCTTCCAGCATGTCTTTGGAGTCTTAGTGATCTACTGCTGACTGCAATGAGCAGGGAATGCCCATGCCACAGCTGATTGAGTGGCAGTGCCCATCGCAGTTCAGTCTGAACCTGAGCTCATCCCTATTCACAGTCCTCTGCCCCCAGATCTAAGACCATGTGATAAGTGGTGTGTTCAGTGCTCTTACTGGCATTTGCATGGGCATAACTTATTTACTGAGCTCATCCCTAATCACAATGCTCTGCCCCCTGATCTAAGACCACCTGATAAGTGTTGTGTTCAGTGCTCTTATTGGCACTTGTGTACATGCATATACCTATGTACAACGTTTTCTGCCCGTACATTTCTATGAACAGAAGAATGCAGCAGCTGAGGCTCCCAGGCTCCTTAAATACAGACATATTGTACACTGCATGACAATGCAACTGTATATGTGCCCATGCCATTGAAAGCATTACTTATTCATCCTTGCCCCTGTGTTGTGACCTGGAATTTGTACTTGTCTTGCTAAATGAAAAAGATGACCACTCAATTAAAATATTTTCCCATCTGTTCCCCTGGTATGTGTCATTCCTCTTTCTTGTCTTTCTAGGTCTGTCGGAAATCACATTTTGACAGTACAGAAAAAGTCGACCCGGCCGTGATATTCCCATCACACTGACTAACACAAACCATTACATTTGGCAAACACCAGGCATTTGGCTTTCAATCTTCCCAGCCAGACCTAACAAGAGAGCAATCTTCCTGATGCTACAAGCTTTGCGAGCCGTTTCCAGAGTATGAAATAAATCTCCTCCAGTGTGTGTGTGGAAGTCTGTCTGCAAGTCTACATGCACTCTGTAGCCTCCAAGGTGCAAACTTCATTCACCGTTTACTTGTTTATGTTCCTTTTTATTATGATGAGCAAATATTACACAGTACAAGGTGTGGCACTACTCTGTCCTTGAGCTTGTTTTCTTTTTTCTTTTCAATAATGCCGCTTGGAGATTGCAACCAACGTGACGGCTTTTAAAATTAAATTTTAATTCCGTTACTTGGAATGTGGTTGTAATTCTTTTGAAGTCCACGTGAAGACCCTTATATGTCACCACAGGTGACATATAAGGGTGCCTATTATAATCTCCAACGCACTAAGCTATTAATTTGCAGACCTGTACACGGTCCATGTTGATGGTGCCTGTTTGTGGGTGTCCTCTTAGCAGCTTCAGTGAATCGAATCACTAATTGAACTAAGAAATCCATAGAACACACCGATGATGCTCAAGCACAGGCTTGAAAACTCCTGCACTCAAAGTATATGTAAATTCGAACAATGAACATCCACTATTTTCTGACATTTGGTCCATTAACAATGTGTTTTGTTAGATCTGTTTGATAAGTGAAAGAAATACATGTTGATCCTCCTAGAAATTCAGTGAGCTCGTAACTACCTGTGCTGCACTGAAATCTCAAGCAGTGCTATCAGCTCTGCCCAGTTCACCTCTGTAAACTACATAACACCTCCCCTCTATGTTATAGGAGAAGTGTTCTGCAGTCCTAACACTTCCTGTCCTAGGCTGATAACGCTGCACCTCCACCATGTGAACTTAAACTTAGGAACACCTCCTCCCTATGTCATGGAGAAGCAGGGAGGGGCAGGTGTTATGTAATCCTAGCCCAGAGGCACAACTCCGGTCCTCCATATTTAGTACAGTGTGTGAGCATTGTCACCCTAGGACAGGAAGTGTGTTAATGGGAGGATCACTAGGTGAGAATAAAGGGGAAAAGCCTGAAAAAGAAAACAAATACAGCCACCTTTATATAAGGACTTATAAGCTGCTATATATAACATTTTTGTTCTTGGCACACACAGCTATCGAATGGCCATAGATGGGGCAGTTCTGTCACAAAGAATTGTGGAAATGTCACCAGTACGCCAGTCCTTTTAGGATAGCAAAAGCTTAATTTATTGAAGTTCTTTGTCATATGAACAAGCGCTTTCGGGACCGCGCAGGGTCCCTTCATCAGGCTTTAGGATCGTCAATGATAAAGCCTGATGAAGGGACCCTGTGTGGTCCTGAAAGCGCTTGTTCATATGAAAAAGAACTTCAATAAATGAAGCTTTTGCTATCCTAAAAGGACTGGCCTACTGGTGACATTTCTACAATTACGCTGATATTTGCGGTGCCATTCGCAGTCACTGCGAGCACCCCCCACTACAAGGGACATTTCGGTAAGGAGTGCAACAAGGCTAGTTTGTAGTTCTGTCACAAAGACTAGAGGTCTGCTGGCACCAGTTCACATCGCACGCCACTATGACTTGCTATGGTCTTTTTTGACTCGGCCAACTCTACCATGTGGAGAGAAAGATTCAATCTCTTCATGGATCAGGAACGATTGCCCATCTACCAGGAGAGATGTCACGGCGTGCTAGAAAGTCCCTGCATGCCGTACCTTGCACTTATAATGATCAGAAATGATTGCCACTGATGTGCACTAAATGTGAATGTCACGAGCAAAGCTGGGATCTGTTGCGATACTTTTACTGGCTGTATAACTCCATTGTTAATGATTTGTCTTATTAAACCTGTGGATTCCTATCAGAGATTTTCAAATTATTTTCTCTTTTAGTATATCAAGTATTCATTTTAGTTGACTATTAATAATATATTATGTACTTTACTGTAAATTAGTATTTTGGGAGCACTTTACATTTTCAGGGTGATCTGTGTGTATAAGTGTGCAACTAAGTGGAGTTTATACAGAAGGCGTCTTCAATATTGGGACCACGGCGAGGAGTTTCGCTAACACTATATCTGAGAAGATCTATCTTTGCGCTTCTGGGACACCGTTAGCGCTGCAAGGGAGAAGAACAAATACTTACCCTGCTGAGCCTCAGAGTGGAAACAACCGGGTCCAAAATGAAAGCGTGATTGTAAGCCCAAGTGCCACTAACCAAAAGCCTTCTACCAAACTCCATTTGGTGAGTACCCACCCAAGAGGGGCTGTCGGACTACCGTTTAAATATACTATCAACATTTTTTTCCTTGTACACGTTTTCTATGGCTTTTTTTTTATCTCTCACTGAACACTGCACTTTGATGTTTTAATTTTTTTGTGTGGACCGTTCACATATTGTTATTTATTGTTCATAGACCTTTCAACAGGTCATCATGTTTTTCTAATGCAATATTCTATTACATTTGATTCACATCTGTTATTATCACTAGGTAATAGATTTTCACATAGTGGCTAATTTTTTCTGTTGTCTCAATGCTGTTTTGTGTTTTACAGCTCGTTTGATACAATTGAATAAAATAATTTTGATCGCTAATGCAAACACTCACCTCTCCGCCGACTTCCGGGAGTCCTGTCGGCGATCCGGTGACATCACGGACATCAACGTTACCGGACTCCTTCCCCAAGTGGCTCCGTCGGCTAACGAAGGGAATTAATCGCTTAAAATTTTTTTCGATTAATCGAACACGAAAATTTGAATCATTACCAGCCCTAATATATATATAAAAAATGTATTTTGGTTTTTCTCATGAAGTCAAGTTTAGGTCACCTTATAATATAAATTAATGTAAAGCTGAACTACAATTTGATATTAAAACACCAATTAACACAACATATGCAATTCATAAAGTTATATATCCATTAAAAAGTAACTAAATGTATTTTTAAATGCATCTAGTGTAAGTAGTGCAGTAGAATGGGACAGACAGCATTCCCAGGCAGTAGGGCTCTAACTTCAGTGCACTCGTGCAAGAAGCAGAAAGAGTAAGGGCCCATTCACACTGGATCCTTTGCGCTGCAATACGTTTGTCAACGGATGCTAATGGTAGGGCACCGAAAAATGAATGGTGTGAATTAGGCTAGGTAACACCGCACCGTTCCATTGAGCTGAAGAAAAGTAGAACATACACTACTTTTTTTCAGTGCAACATAACGCAACTGATCCGGTGTAAACTAAGGGGGCGGGTACAGCTGGCTCTGCCTCTAGATAGGCAGAGCCAGCTGTCAATCACGCAGCTGGGTGGATCTCGACAGTAATGTCAGGATCCGTCCCGGCTGCGGCAGTCTCAGTTCTCGCGGTATACTGAGCTTTGGGTCACGGGAGGATGCTAGTTTGCGTCCTCCAGTGACCCATAGGATAACTATGGGGAAAAACACTGACCCCATAGTTCTCTTTTAATAATAAGGATATCACAGAGCGTCCTAGTGGCACTGTACCCTCTTGGTCAATGCTTGTTCCATGCGCAACCTCCCTCTCATGTAAATGACTGGTTAAGGCTGCATTGTGTTCGTAGAGAAAGGAACGCATGAGCCTGTAAACTCGCTGGCCCCCAGGTTCCCAAACTGAGGGCCATTCAGAAGGTGAGGATGCTGTGACTAGGGGCTTAGTTAGTGTTGCATCATGGTGTATGAGATTGAATCAGGGCCGGCCTTAGGCCTTTAGGCGCCCTGTGCGAGAAAGCTTTACAGCGCCCCTCAGTGGCCACACCCCCGTAACCACACCCATTTCCCCCAATATATGCACCATTTAAAGACTCCTATTTTGTTAAGCCGCAAAGAAACATATTAAAAAGTATGATAAAAATAAAACTTTTATTCAAAGGTATTAAACTTGTAGGCACAATAGAAGTATTCTTATCAAATAAAACAACAGAAGGTAAACAATAAATGTCAAACTACAATAGAGTCTATAAAAATAAAGTGTCAGGATGTCATGCCGATCCCTTTTTTCAAGTAAGTGCAACTAGAAAAGTAAAAATAAAAAACAGAACACAGACCCCGGGCTACATGTAAATTAATGAATTACTATATGTCCGAATATGAGTGAAATGTATTCAGACACATAATAATAATTTGTTTGAGAATGTGCGGCGGCCATGTTGGCCACCGGCGTGTTCTGTGAATGCGTGCCACCATCTTGGAGGCAGGGAGCATGATGCCATGCATGCGTGGCGTCAGGTGACCTCACACGCCGATATTGGCCCCACCATCTTGGTGTATACCTAGATATACACCAAGATGGTGGCGCCCAACACGTGCGGTGTTATAAGATGTCATGCTCCTTGCCTCCAGAACACGCCAATGGCTGAATACAAAATAGCATAAAAATGTGTTTTGTTTGATGAAACAAATGAAAACTTTTTTAGTTTTCGTTAATTTCATCTGAAATAAATTTTTCGTCTTCGCACTTGTCTAATAATATGTGTGTGTGGGTGGGCAGTTTTCACTTTTTTTAAATAATTTTTTTCATATTTTTTCATATTTATTTTTTACTGTTGGGGGGGCTTCGGGGAAATATTAGGGGTCCAAACAGACCCCTGACATTTCCCTTGTAAAATAGAAAAGAAATTGAGGACACCAAATCCTCAATTTCTTTTTCTACAGCCTCAGCACTCAATGAATGGGAAGCACTCAGTACAGAGGCTTCCCATTCAAATATTTACTATCAGCTGTTTCAGAATTGGGAGGAGCCTCTGTACTGAGTGCTTCTCCCCATTGGTGAAATCTGGAATGAACAGGCTGTGATGTAAATCACAGCCTGTTCATTCATAACTGGGGACACATAGTACTATGTGTCCCCAGTTATTTACAAACACTGAAGTGATCAGACGATCGCTCCGGTGTTTGTCCTTCTCACACGGAGGATCGGTAAATATCAATTATATTTACCGATCCCACGCACTGAGCCGCTGTCATCCTGAAACTGACTGGATGACAGCGGCTCCAACCTCCTCCCCGCTCTGCCATCCTGACAGCTGCGGGCGCGGCTTAGGCGCCCTGTGCAGCCGCACGGCTCGCGCACCCCTAAGGCCG